GAACGTTGCACACGTGTATGACATATACACACACATTGGCGTACGATGTATGTATGTAGTTGCACGCACACGTGGCTGACGCAGCAGCAGCAGTAGCATTCGTGTGAGAACGTCTGGCGCAGGTTTCAGCATGGAAACGACTCTCCGGGGGACGGCTATATTAAAATTCCTTAAAACTTTTTAATCTTTCCGCCGTAGTTAAATATTAATAACGAAATCTCGGATACGGCAATGTGCGCGGCGCTGCTCGGGGACACGTCGAGCCACTACTCGTTATACTTTTGCCAAGATTCCGCCCCCAACGTCGCGCCAGGTTTCCTTCAAGTCCTAGATCTATGGATTAAAACTGAATAGTGGCGGAGTGTCGGCGGACGTGCAAAATGGCAGGAGCCCGATTATAACGATGCCTTCGTGTATCATAAGTTAAGCTGTGCGCGTTGGACTCTGGAAACGTGTTAGCCACGTTTGTATGCGCGGGCGTGCGCACACGTTTAATAGCACACGCCTGTGCCCCGGCGTGAATGTGTATATTAGACGGTACGTGTATCGTCGAAGGGCAGTTAAGTTGGGGCGAGACGACCGTGCAGCTTACTTAACCACCATTTAAACCTGAAAGCGAGCTTTGGTTCTCCGCCGAGATCAAGCTGTGACACTAACGGCCTAACGCTGTACTGAAATGCCCAAAACACGTTAACTATAAGCAGCACTCCCGAGAGCAACATGCACGAATTGCTTTCTTAGGTATAATCAACCCTACATATGCTATCGTATTATATTTTTACGATATTAATATTTCTGATTTTTTACACATGGCACTAAAATGAAATGTTTAATTATCGGTATTGCATTGCAGAATTTTTAAGCCAGTTATAAATCAGATGTAGATCTATAAGAATAATATAATATAAAGAATAAATCTATAAGAATTTAATTAATGTTAATTTCATATTTATTCTATCTTACGCGCAAACTTTCTATATAGAATATTTTTTCTACAGCTCTTTTTTATTTTGTTCATATCTCTTATTTTCTGTTGTATTTTCTAAAGTCTATTGATGATGAAAAAACTTATATTGTATAATAATAATTAAATAAAATAATAATTAATCGTGAAATAATTATTTTTTATAAAGCTGTAATAGAGCGCAATTGGGCTTGTATTATTCGAAGCTACTTTGTCTTTGATCCTGGTGGCTACTTCGAATCTCCAAGAGTAATCAAGGTGCAATGCGCTTGTATGCAAATGTAGACATAGGTTGAAGCAAATTGTAGTACTCATGTGAATGGACCATTCCAGAAATCCCTTTCCTATTATAGTCATTGTAGTAGTACATTGTATAGCAGCTTTCTCTAAGTTTCGATAAATACTCTTAGTTCTTTTATAAAGAATAATGATTATTCTTTAACGCTTTGTGTGAAGATAATGTAAAAGAAACATTAAACAATTAAATAAATTTAGAATTTAAAATCATCATTCTTCTCTTATCTAGAATATATTTTCTTCAAAGCGTATTTATTTCGTTATACTATCAGTAATTATGACATCAATTAAAGCTTCGATTTAGATTTCAATGTTGCGTCGTTTACAAATTATGACCGGTAATTAATTTACATGGTTAAAATTTCAAGTTACATTGTTAAAATTTCTAGTCAATAGCGGGCGAATCAGCAATTTGTAATTAAATTCCTTTGTTAAATATAATTATGCTTTCTATAATATTTAATACGAGAGTGAGTGCGTGCATTTATTTCATATATCTCAACGTTTTTGCAAAATGGTATTCTGATTTAAGTTTTTAAGTTTAAGAGAGAGTTGTCGCTTTTATCTTATTTTTCTAATGCAATTTTTGGTGTTCCAACATATTTTGACTGAAAATATTTTTGATTTTGAAAGTTTACTAACAAGATATAATTTTTTCGAGGATGCATAATCATATGTTTAAATAAATTTCTGAGAGATATAAAAGTCACATATTTTCATTAATTCTTTTTTACAAAATACAGTCAAGAAACAAATGTAATATTTTTGAAAAAAAAAAATAATTTTCTCAACTCATCAAAATATAAAGAAGGTGTTTCCCATCAGGTGTTTCCCCGGTATTTTATAGTGACAGATCACATGCATATATAAAACATATACGTCATATACATACATATATACACGCATATATATATGTATATACATATGTGTATATATATATATATATATATATATATATATATATATATGAAACTAGAATTTATGGTACAATATTCATAAAGGCTTGCCCGAAAAGCAGAAGCGCTAAACCGCGTTTCACGCTTGGCAAGCGATATTCGCCAGCATGGCGTTATTCATATTTGAGGGAAATACGCTGACCGGCATGTATAAGAATAGTGAAATTGCTTAGCACGGAATATCGACATAAATTCGTAATAACTCGCTTTTCTGCGTTAAGCTGCGTTTATCACTATAGAAAGTCAAACGACGCTATTTCAAAGGCAAATTTAGATAGACTTGCCTCTTTGTTATTCGCGTAATGTATTTACCCGTTATACAACGATTCCTTGCGGTGCAGTATCAGCCTCGATCGAATGGATCGCGCTAAAGATATAATTAATCACGAATGTTTATCGCATAAGGAACGAGGCATGGCAGGCCTTTCCGGGATAAACCAGCTGAGGCGAGGAAGAGCTTGGGATCGTAGAAAGGAGCGTTGGACGGAGCATAGAAGAGGCGTGAGGAGCATTGGTGGTAGTGGAGAGGAAGAAGAAGGGGCCGGGAAAAACAAAATAAAAGAGGAAAACCGCTGGCAATTTTTCACTAGCTTTTTAAAGCGCGGCTTAGGTACTCGTGAAGCGAGTTTGAATCGATTTTTCCAGTGGGAGGGGTAGAGGGGCCCATTTTTCTGCCGTCTTCTTGTACCAAGCGGCGCAAACTGTACCTACCTTTCCAGCTGTTTCGCCACCGAACACGGTTGTCGTTCGAAGGCCGAGTTTAGATTGGAATCTGAAATTTCGATACCTTACTCGACGATTCCCTTTTTTCCCTCTACCGAGCAAATGCTCGCAAAGTTTCGTCGGCGCAAAGATGGTGCATCTGCATGAGCCAAGAATAAATCAGGCTGCGAAATCCGAATGGAGATTTCTTGCCGCAAGAGAAACGGATACGAAGATCTATGCTTTGGAAGGAACGATTTTACCTCTACGATTTTTACGGATTGAGATTCTTAATCCGCGCGAGATATAGAGAGATGATAAAGCGCGGGATGATAAATTGTTGTTAACGTAAATGCCCGTCCAGAGAAATATTGGTGTGAAATAAATGTCTCGGTGAAGTACAAGTAACGCCATATAGTTGCGAGTGCATTTATTTCGTTCACTTTGTGGTTTTATCGTGGCGCGAAATCGCGATACTGTCCCTGACTTTCGTCACGTAAAATCACAGGGCGTAGCATACTGTTTGCAGATACAATCGATGTAGAGCACGGGCTTACTGACACTTCGCATGCTCGCAAAATGTAAGCTCAATATGTTCCTTTTGTTTTGCTCACGTAATTTCCTTGCGAAATCGAAGTTCTGCCACTTATTATACCTATTCTTAGACCATCACGAATCCTTGGCATATGTGGCATTATATAATTTGCCTTTAGAAATAAAAGTAATTCTCTTCATTCGAAAATTTTAGAGCATTATCACATTAGAGTACGAACTAGACAACGTCAACAAGTATTATATTTTCCATTATATCCACTATTATGTCTCTACTTATATATAAATAAAATAAAAAATAATATTTCTTTTTAAATTTACATGTACTAGAAATTTAAAAAAAAGTTTATAACAGTTTATCCATAGTTTTATGTCCATTTATTACAATTTAGAATATTTTATGAAAAAGAAAAGATAAAAAAGAGAAAAAAGGAAAAATATATATTTTATCCATTAGAAATCAATAATCAATTAAATTCACAGGGAACTAATTTCATTTGTTAAGAGCTGGCTGTTTCTATTGCGTAAAATCGCTTCTCTGTTATATAAATGCAAGCATCTTAGTATTGCTAGCTTATTGATACAATCGATCAAGACTGCGGAGATTGACGCGACTTCACTTCTAGTTCGCAGCGACACCCGACTTCGAAGGGTATCGGTGCTTGCGATATTATCGTCATGCATCTATCGACCGGTGAGTTTAACGGAGCGCAAGGTCGCAGGACTCGTGGTAGCTGCCGCGCGATCGCAGAGATATGCGTTATTATTGTTCGCGTCGGTGCATCATGAAACGTCGGACGATGATGGAAACTCGTAAAACAGCTCAGTTAGGACGAGAGGGCGAGATCGTTAAAAGTGTAATAAACTTACGAAGCCGGTTGATAAAATGAAATATTCCGGATCTCCTTCTATTGCAATTTCTAGAGATTTGATTATGTCTATTTATCGTCAGCACTGACGTTTCCCAATGCAGTGAAGCTGTGATTTAGTATTGCTTTCTTATAAAATTGCATTTCCAGAAGATTGCAAATATCGTTTGCAATCTTTTGGAACAGCACGTTTATAACAGCACGTGTGAGTCATATATATATATATATATATATATATATATATATATATATATATATATATATGTTAGAATAATAAGTCATTTTTAATTGACATCTCCATAGTGATTATAGATATTTCTATATGATTTTAAAAAATAAATTTTTTTTATTTAAATGAAGTATTTCATATATTGTTCAAGTAGAACGCTTTTCTTTATTCTACAAGCTAGCTAAATCTTCTTTTTAAATGTGTTTTTTTTAATTAGCTACAATGTATTCTACGATATTTTATTAAGAAAGTGATTGTATATTCATTAGTTAGTTTCGAATTCAGAAGAAAAGAATGATGTTAAAAAATCTTTGTAGATCAGTAACTAGATTATTTTGCGTCTTTGGTGACATTATGTCGTTATATTATCGCTCATATAACTCTAGTAGAACGATAAGTCGTCTTTAATGAGCAAGATTAAGAGGACTTACGAAATCTCCCCGAAGGCTGAAAATGCTTCCCTCAAGGTATGTGTCTCGATCTCCGGGCTGAGATCTCCAACAAATATGTGATAGTGTTCTGAAACAAAAATGATATAAGATGATTAGATATATTCTGGAAAAATAGGTAATGCGGTAAATTTTTGACAAAGAAAATTTGGAGAATAATAATGGCTATTTGCAAATGTTATTATTTTAGTAATAAATATATCATAAGCCTGAGTGGAAACGAAAAATGTAAAATATTTATATTTTATCCTTATTTCAAACATGTATAACATGTACATTAAATTCCGTCAATAATCTAACAGTTATAGATAAAAATTCAATAATTTAATAAAAGAAGTGTTTATATTTCCTTATAATTTTCCTTTGACACTCATTTTTTTTTTTAATTATTCATCTGTTTTCACATTCTATGTCACAAAACGAAATAAAAATATTCGGAAAATCGGTTTTTAATACAACTGATTTGTGTAATATTATATTGTACAACATTCGTATTTATATATTTGTAATATACCGTACAAATAACACGCCTAGCTGTTCTGAGAATATCTCTTCATTAAATTATTGATGGATACTTCTTCGCTAACAGCGTCATGATTCGGTCTAAAATATCTGGCATAAATACAAAGAAAATAAAACATCGCGGGAAATTACGCGCGAGAACGCTACTCTGGCAATCGAAGATCTTCCATAATATACAAGATGCGACCTCTAAGATAGACACTTCAAAATAACTCGATGGAGAATAGGAGTTGTTGAAGACACGATAGTAATTTAATCATTTCCTACATGAATTCACAGACTTTAGTGATAAATAATTATTAATCGCAGCTGTTTTTGGGCAATGCTGCAGATTGTGCAGCACGTGTGAAATGAATAATAATTAATAAGTAATTATTAATTATATGATCATTTTGAACGATCGATCTCATTGCCGTTCACGGAACGTGAATCTTTGGAAATGACGATTAATTGTAAATTGTTACAAGAGTTTGATTTGCAAAACTGTGTATAATAATGTGCAATAGTATCATTATTCACTGCAGAAAGCAAATGAGAATTTGTGATGATGTCTGATTACAAAATAATATTATGTTAAATAACGTTACGCAAACATTTATCATTTTAGAAGTGCCGCATCGAATTTTCAAACCGACACATTGTATAACATAACGTACGCTAATGTTATTCCACAAGATTGAATTATAAGTGCTCTAATACATTTGTACTAAACGCGTTTGTATTTCTCGCTGATCGAAATGCAATTGAAAACACGATTGCTTTGGGAGTTATGGATACCTGTAATATGAAGTTACGGTATTCTCGAGAGGCAATAAATGATACTCGTTTATTTTATTTCTAATTATATGCCATATTGCGCGCCTCTCGAGATATGGTCTGTTTAGTACAAATGCATCAACATGTCGATTATTTTACCGATTTTTTTTAATTACATATGCTTTTTACTTTCGCAGAAACTTAAAATTTCACGATCAGAGCCAGAGTCGGATGGGCGCAACGAAATGGTGTGCGAAGTAAGCTTTTGGGGGGATAAATTATCGATTCGCATACGGTCGTGCAGTCGAGTGCAAGTCGCGACGTTGCGGTACAGCCTCGCATCGGCTCGATAAAATATACTTCTCTTTTCTGATCTCTCGTTTCGCCTCTCTCCTATCTACACCCTTTCTTTGGTTCAATACGGTTTCATCCACTGATTCCCAGGAATAGATCAAGACGAGTAGTCGAAAATCGAGTTACCGCCGGAAGATCTCTAGCAAGGGCATCAGTTACTCTGAACGCGTAGTATGCCGCCGATGGAAAGTATAGAAGGGTAAAATAGAAGTGGACCGTCAGAGACGAAGGGTGGTCTGATTACAATCGGTTTGATGGCCTATCCTTGCCGGTCGGAGGGAGGTTCCGGTGGGCACACACAGTGGCCCATTCTCGTGAATTAGTCTGATCCTCATCATCTTCTTCCCTCTAGACCAGCGCAGTCGACACTATCGCATCGCGCCAGGATCTTGGGGCTATTAAGATATCAACAGGAAATTGACGAAAGTTGATTTTGTCCGTGAACTCTCTCTCATCGAGATCCTCAAGATTTCAACAATACAATCAGCAATATCTTTACTTAGGCCATTCGATATTTTTTGAAATTTAATATCAAGTTTTAAGTAAATCTGATAATTTATCTTTAATTTTACGTATATACATTGCGTTTGTTTTTCTTTCCAAATACTATATATTAATGGAAGTCACGTGTTGTACAAACTATTCTGTTGAAGATATTTGTTTTTTAATGTTTTTTTTAAATGATATAATTTGTAAACGCAATTTTCTAAATTTAAATAATAAAAATTTTCTTATATTTCTTTTATTAAATTTTGTATTTAATTTTAATGAATATTTCGATATATTTGAACGTCTCCTTTATGTTTCTAATTATAAAAAGGGTTTTTTTTTACTTTTGAAATAAATATTGTTGAGGCAGAGCAGTTCTATGAAATGCTTTACTTGACACAGTTCCTTTCATCTACGCTGCAGGTTTCTTTAGTTGATTAAATTATCCATGCATTTTTCTTGTCTGCTGAATTTTTCAGCAAGCATTGCATTCATACAGCTCAAAATGACTAAAAAGACTGAAACCTTTTCTGTGAATCAAAGAAGACCAAATACCCATAATTTCACCGAAAAGGATCTTGCACTTAAGTGATTTTGGAACCGGTTTGCTTCCAACGAAATTTCACGAAATCTATCGAATTCGATATCATCCGGCAGTAAATAGTTGGCAAGATCTGATTTCGTAGGGAGAAGGTTTATTGAAATATGGCCCGGGTGAGTGCAGAAAAGGCGTAGCACGAAGAAGATGTCAGTATTAAAGGATTTTTGATGATGACGTCACGTGTCATGACCGGCTGGTGGTTAAACGTGGCACACCATTTTCAATAAAGTGGGATTAATGGAATGTCATTTATTATTGCAACTTTATCCATCTTTTTCACTTTTACAAATCTACTATAACTGACAAAATAATGTTTCCATTCTAATGTAGAATTGAACATTTTCATCAATGTTAGTGACAACGATAATTGCAACGGATGTAAACATCATTATTATTACTGTCATCATCATGGTCGTGGCACTACGTTAAAATTTCAATGTGTTATGAAATAAGGCTACTAAAATCGTGATATGTGTCATGTATGTACGTATTGCATGTTTACGTCATGTGTATGCAGATTGTACGCGAGAAAATATACGTCGAGTTAATAATAAGGGAAGGCCGTTTAATTTTGCATGCAGCATGTTGTTCGATTTTTTTGACGAAATGAATTTTCTATTTAACACTAAGGGAAAAAATTTTCGTATATTTTGAGTGGATAAAATGATTTTTCGAAAGTTAGTCACTTGAGATTTGAGAATTTTCGGGCGAATCTAACGATATATATTACATGTGAAACACATTTATTTACATTTGAATATTTGAAGAAAAATAATATCAAATGAGTATAATACGATTTGCATTAATATGAATTTAATAAAATTACAGACACATGGCTATCGCGCGTGAAAACTTGTTAATACAATGACTTGTACAAATTTATCCAATTGATTTTAATGAAATTTAAATTAATTATTTTTTAATCAAACAGAAAGTTGAATTTGCTGTAATTAAATTTTTTTCAACTGTTACATATAAAACTTTTACTCCAAATTCTCAGATGCTGTGAATGAAATTTGGAATACAATTATATACGTACTACTATCTCTCTTCTACGATATATAATCCGTGATTATACTGCCGTACTTTATCTCGAAATAATATACAAATTCTATTATTGAATATATGATTATAAATCCATAGTATATAAAGAAAAAATAATTACATTCTGTAAAATATAATCCGTTATACGCGATGTTTGATTTAAATTTATTCAAGAGGTTGTTCTCCGTGTCTTGCGTGACGATTTCACGCGAGTTGACGACATGAATAGATCCCCTCGACAGTTTCGAAGGTAAAAGATGGAGAGAAAATAGGAAAGAAACGAATCCGAGTGCCGTGGCACGGTAGCGAGATCCATTGAAGCAGCACAATGCGGGGGTGGACATACAAAAGTCCGGGCCACGCCGTACATCAGGAATCGAGCGTGGATGGCCCGTAGATCAAGGGTTTCCTTAATTTCGCGGGACAACGGTGAAATGTTGATTTATTGTACCTCGAAACGGGCCGAGCTTGCACGCACTCCTGTGCAGAGAAAATATGCCCTGCGGCCAGGGATGGCGCCTGTGCCGCCAATGGAAACCTCTATTAATTCTCCGTGCGGCGAAAACCTAGCGGAGTGAACACAATCGAATTTCAGTTTGGATGACCGCTCCTAGAACTAGTAGTATATTCACGCGGACGTGGATTGCTCATAAGATTTGGGCTCGGATTTACACTAGAAAATACGAGCCAGCTGATGCGAAGATTCGTTGATTATTCTGTGCTTGATTTCATCGTTTTTATTTGATCAGAGCTAAATGGAGATGTTATCTCGTGTTTTTTTTTTTTGACATACATTGTTTTCAAAATTGCATTTCCAAAGTCTGCTAATGTTCATCAAAATTCGAGTAGACTCGCGCATTCGAGCTGAATAATGTTGTTAGTCGCTAACAGCTGAGCAATACTAGATGTGTAATACGATTTAACATTTTAGAGCTGATGAAATGGTATCGGTATGTAATTCTACCAGTCTATTTACAGGTCGCGCCATGTCGCGATTATAATATTAACGGAGCGTTGATACGACGAAGAAATTGTCAGATGAGAATTCCAATTTTCAATACTATCATGTCGTATTACCGATATCTTATAACTGAATGCAATAAAATATATTTGTAATAAAATTGCGAATTATTTGCAAATGATAATAACAAATCTAACGCTTAAACTGATATTTATATGTTGTACATTTTCATTAAGTTAATAATCACAGTGTACAAGTTTAATACGCTCATTAGAAATATATATTTTATTATATTATAAATCTTATTGTATATAAATATATATTGTATATAATGTATATAAAT